ATGTTACGACACGCCGGTACAGCTACCAACCACGCGTTTAGTATGCATTGTCCTTCGTCTTGCGACTGCCGCGAAGTGGAAGCTCCGTCGTCAAGATACTGTAACTACAAGATATTAGCCGACGTCTGTCTGGCGGTATGAAATATTCAATTAGACGATACCGTGCACGAATATTCGTGCCGCGTACCGAAAATTTATACGCTGGCAATTGTCCTCCCTACGAGTGGAGGCGATTCTACACGAAAAAATAAGTCGAAAGTAAGGAATAAAATTTTTTTCGTTCGGGTAAACTGAAAGATCATTCGTTGATCAGTTATTAAGAATAAGTTTAGAAATGATTTTCACGTAGAGTCACCTCCTCTTCGTTTGTCACCATCGACGCAGAGACACCCTGTATATTACACGATATCTAGCCATTACGTTAGATCAAATACGACAGTCTATCAGAGATTGAACCAGCTCGAACATTGAACGTTAACCTAGGTTATGTGCCTTGCGTTTGCAAGGATGCGTCACGAATGACATTTACCAACGGCTGAGACACTCCGGCTGGGAAGTTCAACCGTGAAAAGTGCAACGATCGGCAGATACACTTGACGGAACATCGCGATGGAAAACAAAGCACGATCCCCCTTGAAAAGTGGCTCGCTCGACGGACTTTAATATCCGCGATCTCGAGCCACGTGAACGACGATCGATCGGTAAGAGCCAGTGATAGACCTGGAATCGCAGGTAAGCGAAGAAACTGTGCCGATTCGTCGACAAGAAAATGTTCTTTGCATAACAACGAGAGATCGATGTGTGTATGTATGTGTGTGTGTGTGCACGCGGTGTACCGCTAGGAGTGGCACGGTGACACACTAACGAGAAAAACGACGTCTCCTCCAGGTCGCTTTATTGCTTCAGTGCTTTCGTTTACGCGAAAATACCCAACATCGACGTGTAATCAATCTAATGGCTAATATTTAACGATAATTCTTTATTCCCGGCATATAGATCGCAGATTAAAAAATCGAAACTCATTGTATTTAATAGGCTCTCTGCCTATTCTCTGCTTGGATCGAACCTGCGAAGAATCGAAGGACGAAAGAAGTGCGAAATTACGCGAATCTGGAGATCGGCGCCGAGTTGTTATTTTGAAACCCGCCGCGTCGCGGGAGGGTGAGCGTGTTTTTCTGGCGTAACAGCAACACTCGAAATGTAATCGAGCAGAGGAAGTTGCCGATGAGGGAACAGAATCCAGCCGCTTTTCGGCCGCTTTTCTCCTCGTGGCACGAGGCGGTCGTCAGTGAATCTATTTCGGTTGGGCCACGTCTGCAGCCCCGAGTAAATACAGCCGAGTGTAAATCGAGAGCGGAATAATATCAGAGAAACGCGCGTGTTTCGAGAGAATTCCTTGCCGACGATGTAGCGGTATAAAAATCGAGCTACACGACGAATACGAACGCTTTGCGACAAATGTTCGCTCGAACAGAATGTGAAGGAAAAAAAAAAAAAAATAAGGAGAACCGCGGAGGAACACACGCTCGAAACCGGCCGATCAAGAATTCTATAAGGCGGCGGGTAATTTAAATAATTAGGCGTGGATCGCATTGATATTGCACGCGGCACCTGTGTCGCCCGCTTCGAGGAATGCTCTCCGATCGAATCAATTGCACGCTACCCTTGGCA